CGGTCCGGGGTTCGAAATCTTGTGTGTGTTGTTCTCACGTCATCCGGCTCACAGCGCCGCTTTTGTATATGAGAGGCAACTACATCATTCCACGTTAAATAATCAACCTCTAGTACCTGCACGACCCCCTGTGTGGACTTTTGATAATCAACTCACGGGGTCTGAAACTACATTTTCCAAGGTTGTTTGAAGGGTTTATTGCATATTTCCCAGGCTCATATTTGGTCACCAACAGGCCCCTTGTAAGTAACCCGAGGTTGATTATTTACCGTGGAGTGGTGTATGGCTACCTAGTTGAGAATTGCTGTGCTCTTTCTTTTTTTCTTTTTTGGGTCGGAAATGGTCGACCTCAGACCGAGTTCTAGGCAGTCTTCTAAATGAAACTGCTTTTCCTTTGGAATAACAAGTCAGGCCGGTGTTCGACTTCCTAATCAACACCTTGGTTGTTGCGTACATCGCAACCCCACACTGCCCACAGCTGGGGAGGAAGGAGGGTGACCCTTGATGTGAAATGCAGCCTGAGCTGAACATATCCCGGCAACCCTCTTTGCAGACTTTGGTTGGGATCATCATTTACGCAGGGCGCAGAGTGGCCTGCCCCCCAAAGTTGCTGTCCCGTCAAAAAGGGTTTGAGCCTTATTGAAGGCCGGCGCTCAGATGGCCGACCTCGTCTGTTCACCTCCCGTCGTGTACCTTCTATCGTAACTTAAAACTGGAGATGCCGGGAGTTAGACAAGGCTTATCGGGAATTGCTCCGCTTGGTTAATTCTGCTACCTAAAGTGGAGTGATAGACTACCGCTACACATGGTAGCTTGAGATAGCATCATCCTCATCGTACGAATAGATAGACCAAGACGCCAGATTATAAGCCCCTGACCGATTGGACTCAAGAACGAGTCTACACGTGGAACCCCCCGGGGCCACTGCAGCCCTGCGGAGCCCCATTATTAATTGAGAGCTTTGCTGGGCTAGGTAACTCTACGGATTCCGTTGCCTTGTCCAAATGGAGGTAGCTCTGGTCGGCCGCGGCGGTCAGTGATGCAGCTCCAACGTTGATTGTTGCACCGACCGGCATCAGCACCCAGACGCTAGCGAGCCTTGATCACATCTTGGGCCGTGGATGAACGAGTTTCTTCGCAGACAGACCGTAGGTGACCGGAGGAGACTCGACAGACAGCACAACGGGCACGGCGGTTGGACGACGATTTCCATTTGATCCCGTCCCCCCTTTCCCGCTTCGGCTTTTCCAGGCGTGTGCTTCTGCCGCAGCGCAAAGAAAACCTAAGAGTAAGCAGCCCTGTGCTCGCTGCATTCGTCGTCCTCTGCTGCTGTGCTGCCCGCAGCCCGTCCCGCGGAGTGCAGAGCCCGCCCCAAGCCCGCTTTGCAAATCCGCGATACGGACTGCCAGGACTTGCGCATCCATCTCACCCACCAAATTCCCACAAAAAACCAACACAGCCTGGACCTTGTCGCCGGCCCATTGTCCACGTAACCCGATCCGAAATCGACGACCCCGTAACAATCGCGACGCGGACCCAATTTGGTGCTTGTTTTGCTGCTGCGACCGACTCTGCCGGATAGTTCCTCCTTTCAATGTGATGCCCTGCGGACCCCCGACCGACGCCTTATCGATACGACGAATACCGCACTGCTCGCGATCGCCAGGTACCTTTCGGTGCGGTACAAGCATACCCCTCACCAGCTCCAACGCCGCAGCCCCAGCACCATCCGTTGCGACAGAGGCAGAGGCAGCGACTTCGACGCCCCCTCTCAGCAGTACCGCGCGGTGAGGCCGGCCTCTGGTGATACTCTTCATGAGCAGCAGAACAGGCCGTGCCCTCCGCCTTGGACGACGACGACGACAACAAATACGAATACTTAATCACTAGCCCCTTGACATCGTCCGGACCCAGCATCGTCCCATCGATGCCAGCCGGGCGCTGTCGCCAGGATGAATGCTTTAAATGCTCCGGCAAGCGTAAGGATATCGGGTCCGCCCAATAGCAGCTTCTTGGTCGGCTACCCGGGCATATCCGCAACTCTGGTGAGTCTGTTTTCCGGTCGCGCCGTCTTGCTCCGGTCGCACGCGCCCCGATATACTTGTACTTGGGGTGCTTACCTTGACGCGCGTCTTCGCGAGTCTTGCTAACGGTTTTGTACCGCAGCCCAGAATAGTAGGAAAGGTCGAGATCCGGCCGGGGGTGGGCATCTCCACGCCCGTCAATGTTTCCATGGTGCGCATCTGCCTGCAGCGGCGAGAAACGATACATCCGGCGGCCGAGAACATGGCGAAACGACATCTGGGCACCCCGCGGCGCGAAACGGTCGATCTGGTGGGGAAAGAGGTGTTATTATTCCGATGCGTGTCGGGCAAGGAGGCGGAGAGCGTGATCGCGATGGACTTGCCCTTCCAGATATTCATCCCGTTTGGCCGTGGAGGCGAGGAGACGAACCGCCGCATCCCGCCGGCAAGCTTGCAGCTCCCCAGCCGAACCGCCGAAACGTACTACGAGCTCGTCGTCACCGTCCAGCAAGGCGCGAGCGCGCAGAACCGATACACATTCCCGATCCCGTTACAAAGATACGACACTCTCTCGACCTTTGGCATGTATAACCGTCCAGAAAGCAAGGTCGTGACGGCTGATAATGTGGTGACGCTGGGCATATCGCTTCCCAAATGGAGCTACGGCCCCCTGGACCCGATCACGGTCTACATCAAACTAGCACCGAACCCAGACTGGCTCACCAAGGCGAAGAGGGTGACGATTCAAAAGATTACGTTGGCCATCGAGGAGGAGATAACATTTAACCCGGAAGGAGACGAGCCGACCAAGAAGGTCAACAAGATCGCGAAACACACGCAACAGGTCGGGACAAAGATGCCCGAGGCTGGATACGTCACTAATTTAGGTCTCGTGTTTCCTGCACGCGACCTGAGGGATCCGGATGGTATCATCAAACGAGGGAAGCCTGGGTTTCCGATGTATGAGATCTCAAGCTTTACAACGACCTCAACATTGTATAAGATCGAGTTCTTTTTAAGTATCAAAGTAAGTTGTGTTTAGACCGCGGTCTAGAGCTCCTCTAACATAGCTCTCAGGCACACATGACTTCTGCGCGCGATATCACGCTTCGGCAGCCGATAGTGATATGTCCCATGGACCAGCAAGCCTGCAAAGAAGAGATGGACGCCATCGAACAAGCCGCAAAGGACGCTTCCATGGTAGACCCAAATAACCCGGTCTTACCAGACCGGACCATTATCCTATCCAGTGAAAGAGAAGCCATACGGCACCTGGGTCTGTGCGAGGTTGGAGGAGTCAAGAAGATGCTTATCGAGTAGCATGCCTCCAACAAACTAGGTTGGGATAATAAACGAATTATTAGCCAAGGCCAAACGGGACGGCCAGGATAACTGGATATCGCCATCTCGGCCACATCCCCGTCTTACGGGTATCGCTTCTCCCAAGGATTCGAGAGACATGCATCTGTCTTGGCCCGCCTTTCTAACATGGGCCATCTCGAGCCAGGGCAATTTATGGGATAACAAGGTCCCTGCACGAGACGCGGTCGTTTGACTGTTATGTGGCGGTCGATGAGCACATGCTTAGTGTGCGCCGTCTACGTGTAGACAGGACGACTGACTTACCGGCTGGGCTTTTTACACAAAATTGAGCCGATGGGCACCTTCCATACTACCTACTCCAATGACGCCATACCTACCTCGAACACGGGAGTCATGTTACGCAGAAACGAACACTTTTTCCTGCCCCCCGCCTTCTCTACCTCTATGGTATGGTAGGGATGGAAGATCAACTACCTCGGAATGACTTACGACTAGGGATATGAGTGGAAAAAGGATTTTTCTTTGTGACGATGGAACGGCTCTTTGCTACACGCAGGCCGCCATGGATATGGGGGCGCGAACATTGCATCGATCGGATAGGTTTAGGTCAAGTCAGGACGGAGGGAGGGATGGACGAAGTGATATACCTCTTTTTTACTACTTTTATTTTCATTCTTTTGACTTCCTCTTACGATGGGAGGTTGGAGAGAAGGCCGGGAAATCAGAGCGGGAAGCATTCAATGGTTCAAGCCTGGCGTTTTTTGCCCTTTCGGTCTTTCGGCGCTTTGACTACCTCGTCTGAGCTGGCTAGCTTCAGTTGTGAGGTTTTGGATGAACACCCAACGGTGGATTCGGAATGAGGGAGATATTGTGTATAAGTATACTTTGTTCCTCTACTGGGTTCAAGTGTATGGGCTAGCTTTGGAAACTTTATTAGGCACACCCTGTCTTGGACATTGGGGGGAAGTTGCCTACCCAGTTAACGCACCGCCGGGAGGACAGAGAGAGGATAAAGAAGAGCTTCGGTTAGGAGTGTCAGTCATTTTTGGACAACGATGCATGGTAGAGGACGGCTATACATAGGTACCTATGCAAAGGTTACGATCTAATTGTGGTTTATCCTACATCAAGCAGATTATTGGTGTTGTGAGGATTTCCATCATAGTGGACACTTTTGGTTAGTTGGTCCCCATTACAATTGGTGGTGAGAGGAGAGAGGTAACCTCTTTACAACAGATACCTTTACTGACGAGGGGTTGGAGGGTGTATAATACAACTATCATGCCAATGATGACTTGAAAAGAATACCACGAATTTCCAGCTTTGATTGAGCTCGAGATGATACATGTGAATGTCTTTATCTGGTGGAGAGTAAAGAACACGGTGTGGATAACCAGTGCAGTATCATCAGTCTGGTAATTAGGTAGGTCGTTGTCTGCTCAGTAATTGTCAGCCCCACGGAAATCAGTCAAGAGCCCTACCAGCTCCCATTGTTCGAAAAATGCTCGCACTCGGGAGCTAGAACAGTGAAGGAAGCAGATTATGGTTATATATTGTTATGAATAGGTAGCGGAGGTAAAAGAAAACGGGAGAAAAAGGCATGCGGGCCCGCAGTTAACGGGGATAAAAAATATGATATCATAAGATATATTTTGACAAAGACGAGATTCGAACTCGCGAGGTTTCCCACTGCGGAACGGAGAAGTTTCCTAAACACAGCGCCTTAACCACTCGGCCACTTTGCCATTTAATTGGATGATAGATCAGAGAGTTTTGTTACTCTAAGTAGGTCGTGTTGCTGGCATCAAGTATCACCAACAAACTCGAACAACTTCAAATATGTTGACTTTTCGACTCATGTCTGCATTATTTACTACGTTAGTTCTCCACCATTTTGTCAAATAACGGAATGCAGCTCACCAAGAAAGAACATTTAACAGCATCAACACCAGCGGCAGGATCTGCTTTGACCGTCAAGTCTTGACGGGACCGCTGCACGGGTTCCCACGCCCCACTGTAGCCGAAAGCCTGGGTGGTGTGGGGTACCTATCGGTTCCAGCCTCCAGGCCTCTGACGGGACAGTGGATAAGGTACCCGAACTTTCTTTTTGAGCCGTAGACAATTCTACTTTCATTCAAAGACTTGATCGTTCTAAATACAGCACAAATTACAGCAGCTTGATCCAAACCCGAAATTTGACAGAACTTGAGAATCTACTGGGACTACAATACATCACAACACTGACGCAAGAGCCAAACCCAACAGTAAACAAATATGGCTTCTCTAGACGACGAAGACGACATCATCACCACCACCCAGGCCACAGTCGGAAATGGACAAGACACCGACAGAGCTGCCACACCGGCCGCAACAGCAGACCAAGATCTCATAGAGACCGCCGACGACGTATTGGAAGAAGAACCCCTCGACTTCCGCCTCTTCCGCAAGAACACGCACATCTCAGCGCAAACGATCCGCAAGGGCGAGAAGGACTTCGAGTCGCACGGCACGCGGGCGCAGCAGAGCGCGCTGGATCAGAGCCGGCAGGCCATGAAGGACGTGCTGAGCTACACGCGCGTGCACACGCCTCAGAACTGGGTCCGGGGCTGGTATTTTCCTGAGTGGTGGGCCGACTATCACGAAGAGGAAAGCGAAAACCCCGACTCGGAAGAAAAAAAGCCGGCGGTGCATGTGCGTGATCGGGTGGTGATTCTCGAAGGTAGCTCGGTCGCGAGCATGAATCTGGGGAGGGCGGTGACGGGCCAGCCGAAGGATCGTCCCGGTAGAGGCAAAGACTGGCTACTGCCGGAAGAGGCGCTGTATTTGGTCGAGAGAGGTTCGTTGGATCTGTGGTGGCCGACGAAGGGGATGGACGAGATTTTTCCTGTTACCGGTGGTGCTACGGACAAGGAAGAGGCGGCGGTCACTCAGGAAGAGAAGGACAAAGGGGAAGAAGATGAGTACGCCATGGGGTTTCCGTTGAGCGTCCAGGCCGCCTACTCGCTGCTCGTCGGCGACGACGATCGTGAGCGCGGCAAGGTCAGCCTGCGCAAGTTTCAGGTGTTTTCGAATCTCAAGCGCGCGGGCTACAACGTCCTCCGCGCACCGCCGACGCCGGCCGTCTACGTACAGCCGTCGGCTCCGCCTTCAGAACCATTAGGCTTGCTCCAGTGGTTATTTTCTTCTCTGTTTTCTCGCAAAGAGAATAAGAAGCAGCTACCGTACGGCCCGCTCGTTCAGCCGGGGCTGTACAGGTCCTATATCCCCATCTATCGACAATTGGCTCTACTGCCGCGACATAAACCGCTGTTCTCTCTCCTTCCCACCACCACTAGCAAGCAGCAGCCGAAAGAGGATGATGATCCCTTCACGATCCATTACCACGTCTGGAAGTCGGCGCAGAAATGGTCCAAACTCCGCCACCCGGCCCCCGCTTTTTATCTCGCGGTCGTCGACGCGCAGGAGACGGCCGTTCCGGCGCTCGACGAGATTGCGGGTCTGATCGAGGCCACCCCACCCGCGCCGGGCAAGGCAGAATGGACCGGTCCTGGCAGGATGTATGCGCGCTTGAAGCATGGGCACAGGAATGTTTTGGTTGCGGTGGTCGATCACGGCGTTATTAATTACATGCGGTTCGCTGAGGGTGCGTTTGGGGAGGAGGAGCTGTTTACACGGTTCGATGGGCGGGGCACGAGAGGCGGTGGAAGGGGAGGAGGGAAGAGAGGTGGTGGTAGGGGTGGTGGAAATAGGGGACGGAATGGGAATGGACGGGGAGGTGGTAGAGGGGGTGGGAATGGAAGGGGAAGGGGAGGAGGAGGGAGAGGACAGGGAAAGTGAAGTGGAGTGTGTTGAGTGTGTTGTTTTGTGTGTTTGTGTGTTGTGATATGTTGGAAGCTGTATCCTAGGCTAGAGGTTGGTGACAGATACCTTATTTTACTTATATTGATACCCGGTTCTTTCGTGGTCGTCTTCCATCTCACCCCTGCCTCTGGTTATGAAGTGGTATATCTACCGAGTGTGGTGTGGTCAGCCAATAACCACTTCTCTTCTTGCAGCGATCTAGTTGACGAATCTTCGGTTCTATATCCGTTTTTCCTTTGCCATTTTCTCTTTCATATATTCGTTTCTCACAGTCTAGACTAGTGTGGAGTGGTAGAGTTGAGTTTGACATAGCTCGGCAAGTGTTTTGTAGTTTTTCTCTGTCTCGCGAATTCTTGCCCTTGCCCCCAACTGGTTCCTTCATGTAACACAGAGAGAGCGTTGGATATCGGTTTCGATGCGTGTTTGTGTGATTGACCGAAGGCAGCCTTGTGCGAATACACAGCAGCAGCCAAACATTGGCCTACGATGACTTCTTATGCAGTAACACGTTGCGCAGCTAGCCTTTTCGGTTTCATTGGATTTGCATCGAACACGAGGTGCATGTAGCTGTACCGAACAAGGTTGATGGGATAGGCAGGATGCGGCCACCGGCATGCTGATTGCGAGTCTGTTGTTGGTCTCGATAGTATTTGTCCCGCTACTTTCGGGCTTTGTTGGTCGACATGTGTCCTTGTTTTGTTTTGTTACACTTGCCCAGAAAACTCAATTAAAAGAAATCTTCTTGCGTCTGACGGCCAACAAAAGAAGAAGAAAATAGTGCGACATATCTGATGTCAGGTTAGCTTCCGTGATACATAGGTATTACATCGGGTGAGAACACGACATGGCAGCACTCATTCCGCCGAGTTAGATTGTGAATGATAATTAATAACTGAGAATTTTAATTGTTACTTGGCCTTGTATTAAAGAACAAACAAACTCGGAGAATGTCTGTGGGTAACGTTGGGGAGGGTCAGAGAGGAGGCCCAAGTTATGGTTGGGTTCCGATAACCACTATGGACTGATGAGTGAAGTGATGTGTTCGTGATGATGGCATTATGGCGTGGGTTTCTGGTGATTGGCCCTGACGTTGTAGCTGTTTAGGCTGCGTGGGTTTTGAGTTTCGTGTTGGACGTTAGGTGTTGTCGCTCACACCACCGACGGCCACAGTGTAACCCGTACGCGTGTTTGTCATTTCTCACTTCTTGCCATCGTTGAGAGTGATGGAATATAAATGGAAAAGAGGATCATGTGAATGTTGGAATCATATGAATCATTGAGGTTGACAGAAGACGGAGCTCGAAGAGAGAAGCCAAGTCAGATAAAAGAACACTTCCGTGGAAGGACTGGGGAGGTTTCCTGCTTGCGCCAAGACTGGGAAGGGTGTTGCAGCTGATCGAGGTGCAACCTGGGAAGACACGGTGAGAGGTGAGAAGCCGTTACGATTGGGGACCCGAGGAACGCAGCGCTGGCCGAGTCCTGTGTAAGCTATGAGCTTTGCATCATTTGCATCACCAACTATCTACACATGATGTTTCGGAATCTCTCAGACACACTCACCGGGATAATCTACTTTGTATAGACGAAGCAAGGGAGAGCGAGTTGGAATGATCCGTACATGCAATCATAGTAGGGAGTATACGCCGCGTAGGTACCTAGTGACATGCACCTCGCCAACCAAAAAGTATCATCTCTTTCTCCCCTAACCCATGGCCTACCTCACCACTGAGGTAGACTAGTATCGGCGGAAGAGGTTGCGAGCGAAAAAGGGGACCAGCGGTGCGTTGGGAATTACCGTGCGCAATCAAAGACTTTCACCATTGCCGGCCCGAAATTGCGTCTCGAGTCTTTAATTCGTCCCTCATTTCGTGTTATCTTCCAAGGTTCCATTGCTTGGCAGAACTGTCTTCGGTACCCCGTCGCGATGATGGGAGGATGAAAGGTGTCAAGAAACACACGACTTTCTGGACCCATCAAAGATTTGCGAAGAGTCGGCCTCGCTTAGCTCGAACCAGATCGAAGGAAGGCACTCAAGGCAGGCACATCTTGCAACTTCCAGGTACCTAGGTAGGTAGGTACCTTACGTAGGTCGTGAATTGCAATTTGGCTGAAGGGAAGGAGCCATTCATCCCGTAACCCAAACGGTAAGTACCTTAGCATCTGTCGCTGTCGAGGTAGGTACTTAAGATGGTAATCCGTACTTACCCTGGGTTCCAGGTTTGCTGCTGCTCGTACAGTGCCTGGAAGCCCACCAAATCACCTTCTTGTCACTTCCATTCAAGCTTGTCTCCCTGGAGCCAGTTGATTCACCCATTCTTAATGAGCTACCTTAACTACCTAACATGACCCGCATCGCGTCAGTTCCCATCCCACCCAACCGTCTTTCTTTTTTCTCTTTACATCACTTTCATCGCTCTCAACTCTGACACTTTCACTCTCTTTTCTCAAACAACTAGGTACCAGACTCTCGACGGCTCACAACTACCTGGAAGGTAGGTAGTACCTTACCTCCTACCTTAGTGTCCATCTCGCAGTATTTCGTTGGATATCGCCGTCGCGCTTTACAATAAACCAAAACAGTTCAAGAACTCGGACTTGCACCGCTTGACTGGCTGCGACTTACTCCCAATCATTGGTTCTCCCCTCTCGACGACGCGACCAACTAGGTACCTTATCTAATAGCTACCTTAATATTGCTTGGAACCTTTACCACGAGACACGCGGTAGGTGAATTCGGAATTTCAGTCACTCGGTCATTTCATCTCTCCTTCCCTCCATTACCTTCCTTGCCTGTGTCACGTATTGCCAACATGGAAACGATCCGATTCCTGCTTAATCAACAAGTCATCACCATTCCTTTTCTTCATTAAAAGTGTGATACGGA